TTTTAAGACATAGCAAGGGGTGCCGCCGAGTGGAGTTACAAGCGGGGGTTACAAATAATAATATATACAGTATTTTTTCAGCGGAAGCAGTGGTGCACCTCCAGCAGATGGCGCTCTAGGTGATCGCCTCATCTGCCTATGCCTAGAGCCGGCTCTGGGGGAGCATCAGGCTGTGGAGTAAAAGGAGCTAAAGTCTTATCAGACTGAGCAGAAAACTGAAGAGGCTCCTCTGGCTAAATGCCTGTTCACGGGCTTTCATGCTACAGAGGTTCGAGACCACGTGCCTGGCAAATACCTGGCACCAGTTCACTTCTGCTAAGAATTAAAAAAGATGGAGACACAAAGAAAACAAAAAAGCAGGCAAATGAAAATTATTGTCTTCATTTTAATTTATTTTCATCATGCGATTAATTGATTTGTTTGTTGTGACAGGCCTAGGAAATAGTAAATTTTTGTAATATTGTAATACCACATAATTGTAGCCTGGCCCTTGCCTTCCTACTCAGTTCCGCTCAATTCTAGTTTCCCTTCACTGCTCCGTCTGGGCTTTCTTCCATAGACAAGGATTTCTTCAGAAGAATTTTACCTGGGCAAATCAGCAAACAGAAGGAGGAGTTTTGAATGACAACGTCGATTTTCTGCGCAGTCTTCTAGTTAGTTTAGCAATGCCAGTGGAGGAAGTGAATGAAGTCAGTCCGTGTTTATAAGGCTTCCAAATTAAATCAAAATTGTCTGACAAAGCAGCAGCTCTCATTTAGACGTCTTGTTTGGCTCGATACTTTTCTCCTCTCAGTAGGGTTGTTTACAGCACACGCAATTTCCGGTTAGCTTCTTAGCTTAGCCTCCTTTACTGTGGAGCTGGTGAACACATACGTCACGGCCAACCGATCCAATAGTTTTAAACTTAAACAGAAGCCGCGCCTCCAGCAAGCAATTGCTTCTCAATAGCAGAGAGTCCAGATCCTCTGTATGAAGCAAAGCAAAGAACATAATTGTGTAGTGAAAGGAAATTAGTTACCATGTAAATTCTAGGTAATTGCATGGTAATTAGGGGACTGTAAGTTTATATGTCCCAGTTTATGCCCCCTGTGCACACACACCAAAAAATGTTTTCAATGTAAAGTATTAAATACAAATGAAACAAACAGTGTTTACTGTCCCAGTTCAGTGAACACAGGTGGCCCACAGATCCTCAGTTCTACAGACACACCTCGAGTTGAATGAGATCCTGACAAGAAGATGTTTCAGGGCCTCGCTGTTTGGGAGTCAATGTACCGTGTCTCTTTGAGCGTGCGGAAGTGCAGGCATCACAATAGCGAGGACAATAGGGATAGTTCTCCTAACCTTCAGCTTCACCCTTTCACAAACTCCCGTATCTGATGAGCTTGTTCATATACTACAGCCTGAGAGAGACACCCAGATACAGTCAGATTCTCAGTGCCGTCAAAACAGATGTTATCTGCCCTCTTCATGACTAATTACCTGTTTACTCCCAGGGCTTAGTGAATAGTTCAGCTGCTACTGTTGATAAGAACTCACTTTAGTTTAAGGAAATCAATAAAAGTTAAGATTTCGGTTTGATTATAGGACTACTCACAAGCTTACATTGTCTAGATTATCAATGGTAATTTTAAATGGGATATTTCAGATCTTTTAAAGTGTGGTTATAAACTATATCTTGTCAGTTGTAGGTAGCTCATTGAAGGACTTCAGCTTGGAGAAATAAAGTTTTAATTCAGAGTGACGAGTTAACTTGTCATTAGCTTACCATCACTCTGGTTTTAATCAAACTGATGATGCTCAAAGCAATGTAAGATATTATTTATTCACAATATCTCCACCGAAAATATGATATACCATTTGCTACTTTAATGAGATTATATAATTTAGAATTATGTATGATAGTTGAGATTATGTACAACTCAGAAGGTATAAAACTAAACAGGAAAATGATTTAAGTCACTTTTTTACTCAGGTTCCTGTGAGGGCGGGTTCCTCATAAAGTCAGACAGATTAGTGACTGAGAGCTCTCAAATCTTCATCTATCAGCTCCATCAACCCTCAGCTCACACTTTGGTTACGTTACTACAAACATGCCCTTCTTAAAAATGTAAAGCCCCAAATCATGCGTGCCATCTTATCGGCACAGTTAGTCCCTGAATGATATCAGCTCAGCATACCAGCCTGCATGACTCAGACCACATCGCTGGCCTCCAGTTTTTATATAAATAGTTCAGGATGAAAGCATGTGTTGTTCTAAAACCTGTATATACTTTATTTTTGCACTGATGGTGCCTTTGCAGATGACTAAACTGTCCATATCAAAGACACTAATGCAACCCCACATCATCAGAGAGGCAAGGTTTTGAACTGTGGGCTGATAAGAGTTCACGGTTTCCAGAAAGAAATTTAAATTTTTGTTTCACCTCTTTGTCTCAGAGCACAGAAAAGACAGCTGCATCATTTCTAAATGGTGCTTGTACATGGCTTCTTCTTTGCGTGATAGAGCTTTAAGAAGCATTTATGGCTGACACGGTGAACTGTCTTTACAGACAATGCTTTGTGGACGCTTCAAAGTCTTTCCAACTTTTCGCCGAGGATCATTATCCTAAACTTGTTCCACTTTTTTAGACAGATTATCGCAGACAAGAGAACATCTGTCCATCTTTATTTCTGACATTCAGCCTCTTTATAACACAGTCCTTTTATTGACCTGTTGACAGGTAACTTAATTAGTTGCAAAATGCTCTTCTGTTTATTTTTTGTACTATCGCAGTTAACTGGATGCTGGACCCAAGAACGCAGACTAGCTCAAGGTGTTTCAAAGGAACAATTGTCTTAAAACAGAACAAAATGCTGTTGTGGTAGCAAAATACTTACAAAACACAAGGAGAGTCTCACAGAGCATAACAACACTCTGCGTGGCCTGAGAGGCCGAAGATGCTCGACGGGTGATGAAGTAAAAACTGCAGCAGTCAAAAGGCTGGTGCTAACGATGTAAGTGGCTGCAGCTGTGACTAACGCAGAAACAGGAACAGATGTAGGACAAAGGAGCAGAAATGAACCGAGGAGAAGTGAGTACTGGTACAAGGAATATAAAGATTGATAAAATGATAATACAAAAAACACATCCTGACTGCCCTTTCCTCCTACAATCTTTTGTTGCTCTTTTATTGAGATGTGTTGCTGTCATAACATTCAAAATCAATTTCCCCCCTAAAATTTGTACAATTTTTTGTTTGAACATTTGCTATGTTTACTATGTACCAAATTAAATACATTCTTACTCATATAAAATATGCGTTTATGAGATCGGCAAATCATTGCAACCTGGTTTATAATTTTACACAATATTACAGCTTTGTTGGGAATGGGCTTGTGTAACACACTGTGTCACATGTCTTCTTTCACGTTAAATGAAAAAAATGGGATACATCTTGTAGTAAACTTTACTACTTCTAATAACAAGTACTTTATTATTAGTTTTGTCACTGTTTTTTCAGGTCTGATGTCCCCCCAAAAAGCTTTTATTTGTGTGTGTACAAATTTTATTTAAAATCTTGCCAAATCATACCTCATTGTGTATACTGTATATACTGTACATGCTGCTGTTGTCTTTCTTACTTGTGCAATAACAATCAAGACCATTCTATTCTATTCTATTCTATTCTATTCTATTCTATTCTATTCTATTCTATTCTATTCTATTTGTACCAATTTTGAATTAAATTACTTATGACAACATATGCAATTTTGACCCTTCAACATCTATTCTGAAAAAAATTACCAAACTATAATAATAAAGTTGGCTATTTTGGTTCATGATGATTTTAAACACAGCTGCAGGCTAAATAACGACCGTGGATAACGTCATTAACAATGTCTTTTTTTAATTTTCTGCTTTTAGCGAACAAATTAAAAACTTAAACCATAAAAATAAGCAGAATTAAGCTTCAATAAAACTGCTGTCCAATCAGATGTTGGAACAGAAAGTATGCATGTATAATATGAACACCCCTCTATTGGCTTGTGTTTGCAATACAGCTCAGTAAACAGATTCTGTCACTGTGCAGCACTAAAGACGTTAAAACGAAATGACCCAGATGTTCTGCTTCATGTCCCTGTGTCTCAGACACCTAGCCTAATGACTCACCTGTGATCAGGCTTGACACTGACTTGCAAGAAAACCAAACTTGAATCATGACGTAATGTTCAGACTTTGGAACAGGTGAATTTTTATAAACATTTCTTTTGGGCATTTTTCAAACAGAATTTAAATGTGCTACTTTGAATCGCTTCAATAATAATGCTTAACCTTTTTGATTATTTAAAAAAAAGTTTTTACCAAACAAATTCACGTTTTTTTTAAATCAGTTATGTCATTAAATAAATTTTGCCTGGCTTCGCACAGTTGCTTCCTCCACGATGTCATCTCTCTTCAGGAACCTGGAGAGCTGTTTATCTTCATGTAATCAGATCAGAGGCTCTCTGCAGGAATCAGTTCTCATTCTTCAGTCCGTATTGATAACATCACACTTATCGCAGCGCGGTCATCAAGTTGAACTCCAAGCAGATAGTTTAAATGTTTTCAGCGGCATACCTCAAGTGTCAGAACTAAGTGTCTTCAAATTCAACAGCAGGAAACATGCACACAGCCTTCATGTCTTTTCACTTTACCAAGCCGTATTTCAGTTTGCTTTTGTGTTCGATGAAGTGGTCAAATTGTGCCAAATGTTACATTATGTTTTATGTAATGTTTTAAAAATTATAATTGCTGTTAAAGTGTGGGTGAGTCTGTGGGGGCTTGCAGGACATTAAAAGGAGAAATAAATTGTATCAACAATAATTTATTAAAGAATGCAGCACAACTTCATTTATCTCACTGTACAAATCCCAGTGTACATCTTTTCATGAAGACAGCCTGCTGAAGTTACTGCATTCATTTAACAGAGGAGAAAATAACAACAAACGTCAATCTAAAGTTCTAACACGAAGTATTTAGCAAATGTTATAAACCCTGACTCGTTTTCACCACATCACGGGGCCCCAGGCGCCACTGTAGTCCCACAGATAGGGTCTGTATTGATAGGCTTTACAGAAGGAGGGTATTAACGAGGATCGGACCAAATCCTCCCTCAGACCCAGTCCACCTGCTCTGTACACGTCCTTACAGCTCTCCAGTGACTGCTGCTTCCGTTTGGTTTTGTAGCGCCTGTTCTGAAACCAGATCTTCACCTGGGTCTCGGTTAGTCTCAAGGTGCTGGCCAGGTGGGCCCTCTCTGAGGCCGACAGGTATTTCTGGTGATTGAATTTCTTCTCCAGCTCGAGCACTTGGAGATGTGTGAATGCCGCTCTGGAGCGCTTCTGCTTCCCAGAGGAGAAGAAACTGGACTCCGAGGAGCGCGGAGAAGGTGAGTGAGACTCTGCAGGGCACGGGACAGAGATGTGTCTTTAAACAGGTGGGATTTACGAGGCTAATATTAAAATGAAAACAAAAAAAAAAAAGCTCCTGTAACATCAGTTTAAAGCTGGATCCTATAATATATTGCTACAACTTTCCACTTGTCCACTTAATTAATCTAAAAGAATAAAAAAAATCAAGATTCTACATTTAAATCTGGCAAAAACACCAAATCTCCTGAATGTTTTTTTTCACAGAAGCTCACCTGTCTGCATTCCAAACATGGACTCCTGAGAATAAGACTGAGCTGACAGCTTTTCAGATTCCTCTTCCCAACATCTGTCCGTCTTCACCGAGCAGCACTTGTTGTCCACTGCTGCACTGTCCTCAGTGGACAGGATGTCCTCGATGAGGAAAGATGTCCGGGGCTTGATGGTGCAGGACATTTCCATCCAGAATTAAAAATAAATAAATAAAACGGAGGCCTCTCTGTATCAGGAAGCTGCAGCTGAGGCAGTGTGTGTGTGTGTGTCCTCACACACTCAGGAGGTTTGAATTTAAGTGAAGTGTAGAGGCGGACTAAAGTGAAGGAGGCGGGACGACTCTGCTCAGTTTAACTTTCAGTGTCTCTTTAGACTTGATGCAAACTGACTTTAAACAAGAGGAAGTTATTTATTACTAAAAGTAATTTGTATTTTTAATATCATTTTGTATTCCTGTGCCAAAAAATTAAATATTAGGTAAAACAAACATTTAAGTGTAGGGATACACCGAAATGAAAATTTCAGCCGATATCAATATCCAATATAATTACTCCTGTTGTGGCCGATGATCGAAATTTTACCGATATTACACAAACACAAATTATATTGTACATACACACACAAACACACTTGAGTCTTTTTTTTGATACCGTGAATAAACAACCAGACCTCTGACATGGCTCTACTTCAGTTATTCCTGGCTGCGCAGCATCAATATCACCATCAGGATCAAACAGATGCTGCTCAACCAACCATCTGCCCTCCCAAAACACAGACTCAAAGATAAAAAGTGAGAAATCAATATTGGATGTTAATATCAGCCCAGTTTTACATATCTGACCGATACAGATATTCTAAAAAATGGACAATATCGGCCGATACCGATATTAATGAGAATTTATCGTGCATCCCTATAGTGTATATTTATATAATTCAGCACACGTTGTAAAACATAGCATATTAAAATGAAGTTTTAGGGGGGAAAACTGGGAACACTAAATTTTATGGTGATTTTTACTCTCATTATGTCAATCCATCCATTTGATGAGAATGAGCTCAAAACTGATTTTGTTTGTTTGAGTCATAAACTTTGTTTACAGTAATCTAAATGAGTTAAACATTTTAGTTTTAGTGCTTTATATGATGTAAATCTTTAGAGGGGTGAGGGTTTAGACTCAGATTTTTAGCATTATTTTGATTTTAAAAGGTTGCAAAGTACACTTTTTGAATTGTGACTGTGCTTTTTTTATACAATCACAAAGTTAAGAATTATTTTTGCTTTTGAAACTTTATCAATAATTTGTAAAATTAAAAAAATGAGTTTTGAAGCCAATTTTGTTATTTTGTCTTTACCACATTTGTACCTTGCATTATGTGTATCAGTTAATAAACAGTTAAAACAACACCAAACAAACAAAAATACACTCTTTGACTCATACAAATTAAGTTTTAAGTGTTCATAATCTTTACAAATGAATTCTATTTTGACATACTTTAATAAAATTGTGAGTTCGCATAAAAAATACTTTTTTTTTTGCTTCCAGTACAAATTTTTCTTTAAGCAGTAAATAGCTTCATGTGTTAATTCTCACAGAGCCATCAGCTCAGTTACTCAGCAGCCTCGGGGAGACAGCTCTGTCTGCAGTAGGACGGGTTGGGTGGGGGGTTAGAGTGGGTGGTCAGACACCCCAGAGCTCTAATGAGTCTGACACATTTAGGCCGGCTCCTGAATGGATGCCCTCATTGTTTGGGAGCTGTTTATTTGTTGCTCTCTGCGGCTCGGATGCTGACCTTTCTGCACCGACTCGGGCCTTTACTGGAGGCGTCCATGTTGCCGTGTTGCTTTGGGATTTTATGCTTCATTAGGGGAACTGTGAATTCAGGGTATGGTAAACATGCCACCCCTATATGCCCTCTGGTTCCACTGACTCTAACTTCAACCACACCAGCGTGAAAGCGATGACTGCAAGTTTCATCACTGCTTCAATAAAAAGTCACAAATAAGCTTCGTTTGATGGGATTTCAAAACAGGAAGTACTGGAATGTGCAATAAAAATACAGTTTAGGATTCAAGGGCTGTTTTTTTTCCAACATTTGTATTTATTAAAAGAAAACATTTACTTTAAATCTGCTAAGGCTCCTTTCCTATAACCTGCTGTCTTGTCAACACAGTTTTAAGATCACCTGTGTGATAAGTTTCACCCTGACCTTGTCCGTGACTCTCTGTCTTATTTGGTATGTTGAACTGTAAGCAAAGAGATCCTTTATCCCCATCGTCTAGACACACTCTCTTCTCTCCTCTAAAATCCCCCAACTTTATTTTTTGAGTCATTTAGGTAGGTTTGAGAGAAGAATGCAACGTTACAAATGCTTAAATCATGTGAAAAGTTGTTTATTTAAAGCCATGAAGTACTGAATATTGCTCCCAAGTTAATGTGTTTTTTTTATTTCAAAAGCTCTTTCACCTGAGGTTTTCTTTATTATTCCTGCTGGAGAATTAGCAGAATTAGAATTAGAAGAACTGGCTCTGCTCTGTGACGACAGGAGGATAAACAAAGTCAGTAAGAGTCAGTGACTGTGATGTTTCTGTTCTGGTGGTGGTGGGGTGATTATATTTTAAACAAGTCTTTCAGGCGAGCTGCGATGCTGTCATCCCCTTCCTTTCTTCTGTTAGGATACGGGCAGAAGATGATCCTGCATCAGATCCTCTGTCAGTCCTCATGGCTGCCTTTCTGTTGAAATCAGTACCATTTTCTTTTTTTATTGTGTTTGTGTGTGTGTGTGACTGCTCAGATATGTTGCTGCATGCTTGTACTTTGACCTTTTACCCTGGGAAGACGTTTGTCTTCCACAGTAAAAACAATTTGGTGACAATGTTTTCTTTGTGTGGCTGGAAGCTGCTGAGCCGTCGGTCTGTCAGTCTTCTGCTGTTTTTTTGTGCAAAATGACGAGTGGGGAGATTTTGTGATGTTACAGTGCATTCATCACAGCTCTGCCCATATCTGCTCAGCATCAGATTGTCTCTGGTCCTCTTGTTCATGTATGATGAAACAGACATGCTGTCACTTTGAAAGGACACTTTTATGTCAGTCAGACCTGTACTTTGTCATAACTTTGTAGGATTTTGATCAGTTTTCATCAAGAAGACTCAGAGTTCTGTGAATACTCAGGCTCTTGAATGCACCCCTTTGTTTGGGTCTGTTTGAGTTTCCATAAAAATAACGACCAATGTGTAATTAAAATAAAAACTTCAGTTTGCATCTAAATGTTTTCTAAGATGCATTTCAGATTATTCTGTCCTTCAAGGATGCCTCCCCCCTCCAGCTTACATTTTTACAAATGTACAATTTTTTCTGGTGTTTATTTTATTTTTCTCAATCAGTGAAATAATCTCCCATCCATTAATGTGTTTAGCAGTTTAAATTTTTATATCACCAAACAAATGCTGGCTATTTGTGATCAAAAATTCTGTTTTTCTAAATAACAGACCTTAACTTGTTGTCCACTGTTCTCATTTATTGTTTTTTTTTCTAATTATTATGATGCCCTGAAACACTACCTCATAGATTTGTTTAGTTTGGCATCCCTTTAATGTTGTTATTATCAGATGAAAACAGTCTGTGAGATAGTGCAGCTTTAGAAGAATAGAATAGAATTGTTGTCATTGTAGCATGTACAACAAAACAGGTGTTTCCTTATGGTGTTTGAAAAAAGTATAGAGAAGAGTAAAAATACTCTGACTGCTTTTAGACATTATCAAAATATTTTAAATGTTTGCAATGTTGTTTCTTTTGTCAAAAAATGAAAATTGATCTACTTGAAATGTTTAATTTTTCATGTGATTTTTTTCCTGCTCATTCTTGTGTTATTGTGTTTTCCCGCTAGAGGGCGCTTTAAACCAACTTTAATTCCACCAACATCATCAGGAGCTGTTCGTACGTTTAGTCCGACAAAGCAGCTACTGAATTGTAAATTTCTTATCAACACATTTTCAGACTGGTGTTTAAAAGTTTTTTATATAAAATCCTGTGGACTAAAGCCAATGAACCTTCAGCTGTTTGTGTTTTAACAACAATGGCACTTGTACTCATTTTCAGTTTCAATGAACCCCAACACAAAAGTGCAATCAAAGCTGCTTAAAAAAAAAAACAACTCATTGCATCATCATCCCTTTTATTCTGTGCCATAAAACATGATGGGATTTTCTAAAAAAAACATACAAACATAACAATTTGATTTTAGTGTTTGAGCAAATCTTATTATATTTTACTTTTTTATTGCTTTCCACTCTGATTGGAAAAAAAATTGAATTTTCTGAGCACAGATGTTAATGTGGCTTAGTACATTTTAAGAGTAATGACACTTTAATGTTTGTGTAATTGCTATTTTTTGCATATTTATTATATATTTATTTCAAGAAATTGTAAATTTTCTTTAATTTCTTTAATTTATTTGAAAGCCTTTTGGATGAAATGTGCTTTTAAAATCCAACACATGAGGTGATTGTTACCAGCTGGGCCACGTTCTATTATTTACATTATTTACAGGATAATTCACTTTAAAAAGTTGCATTTTACTTATTGCTTTAATTTTCAACAAGAGAAGTTAAAATGGATCCAAGACGCAGAGTGTTGTCTATCCTCAATATGAATTTACTCACTGTAAATCCTAAATTTTGGCAAATATTTAATAACACATTCTCCTTTTTTTCAGATGACAGTTAAATGTTTTTTAAGGTTGTAATTGTCAGAAACTGAGATCACCTTCAGTTGTATCTGATAAAACACAACAAAATGGCCTTTGAAACATCAGCTGAAGATGTTTTTTTCTCTAGTTTTTTTTTTTTGTTTCTATATCAGGTTATACAGGTAAAACAGGTATATCAGTTGTACAATTTTTTACACTTATGTGCTGTTTATTTTTATTTTATTGTAAAGTACTTGGTGATTTTTATCTGTGAAAAGTTGTTAATTAGATGAGCTTTATTTGTTTTGCTCAGTAGATAAAAGCATTGATGGAGTTCATGCAACATTTCAGTTTAATGCATAATTGATTATTTTATATTTGACACTTGTGTGAATAAGAATCATCAAAACTACTTACACACACGCGCACACACACACACACACACACACACACACACACACACACACACACACACACACACACACACACACACAGTATTATCTGATTTGTCTGTCTCCTCTCTGTCTGCAGCCTCTTATCTGCTGAGGTGCTCCTTCAAGCTCTTCTTCTTCAGTCCCTTTGTCCTTTTTTTCAATGCAAACACAAACTGAACATTTTTATTTACAGCATATTATCAGTCAGTAAAAGTAAAACTAGTTTTTAGTCTTTGAGGGCGCAGAAACAGACGTGAGTTTTGCTGATGACTGCTCAGTGAGTGACAGGTCCCAGCAGAAGGATGACTGAAAGCTTAAAAAAAAGAAGCTGAAGAGCCACTCAGTCTGTGGGTTTGTTTACCAAGCAGAGGACAGGCTTCTCTGCTGCCTTATCAGGCAGCTTGTGAACGGGACAATAACGAGCTCAGTTTGATAGAAGAACAGCTCTGAAAGGTCAGAGGTCACGCTATCCATTAGGCGCAATTTGGCTTCCTTTGACAAAGCGCGCGGCTTCTCTGAGCGGGTTCTGATGGGATGTTTCCCCTCCAGTCTGAATGAAAGACATCCTGATGGTTTAAAGACTGATTGACAATATTTTATAAAGACAAACTGACAAGATTTTAAATGCAAAACTCATAGTCCAAGTCTGAAACGTTCAAAAATGTTAGAAAATAGGGGGAGGGGGGTCTTTTTTTTTGTTCATCCTGTTGAGAAGACGAGCTTTGTGGGCTCACCAGGCTCTGACAGAGTGCAGCTGGTTGAGGAGCCCCTCTGTGTTGTCTGTTAAATCAAGCTGGTTGTTGGACACCTGGCCTGCAGGTGATCCATGAGGATGATGATGATGAGGAAAGCCGCAGAAGCTGCTGGTTCCACAGCCGAACGCGCAGTTCAGATGTCCGACCGTGACGTTATAGGGAGCCGGAGCCGCGGCACACAGCTGCCCGTCGCGAACCAGAACCGGCACCGCCACGCGCCTCGGCGCCGCAGGGAAGCTCGCCAGCTCCAGAGACTTGTCCTGCCTCTGCCTCTTGCACTTGTACCTCCTGTTCTGGAACCAGATTTTGACCTGCGTGGAGGTGAGTTTCAGCGCGCGGGCCAGCTGCTCTCTCTCCGGGCCGGACAGGTACCGCTGCTGCCCGAAGCGCCTCTCCAGCTGCGACACCTGCGCCTGGGAGAAGAGGACCCGGGGCTTCCTGCGGGGCCTGCTTCTGGGCTTTCCACCTCTGTCACAGTCAGCAGAGTCGGGACTAAACACACCTGCTGCATGGAAGGAAAAAAAAATAATAATCAGAATAAACGTTTAAAGCATCAAATCTTTATGTTTGGCCACTTATTTGAAAAACAACAAGCTTTTTTCGGACAGTTTACACTGATCTAACAAAAAAAGAAGAAGCAAACTTCTAATAAAATAACTTGTAATAATTCTTCCACCTGTATATGTCTAATCCTAAATTGTATGGACAAATTTTTATTTAGTCTAACTTCACCTTCTGCCTTTATCTTCTTTCTTTTTAAATTCATAGAAAGGTAAAAAAAAAAAAAAAAGAATCCGATTTGTATACTTATATTTTGGTCTTTTTATGTGAGGAAGAGAACAAAAAAACACGATGATTAAAAAACTCAGGCTATTCTTAAAAACGTTTAAAAATAAAAATGGAAAATGTAGTTTTTGTCTAATTTGTGTCCATCTTCAGGTCATAAATAAGCCGCATAAATAAACAGAGCAGGGCCTGGGTCTCACCTGTCCCTCTCCTCTCCTCTCCCGCTGCTGAGCTGTGCGCTCCGACCTTCTCCTGCCTCTCAGACCGACTCTCGTAAAAATCGTCGTTTTGGGTCGCAGCGCGCACCAGCTGATGATGATGATGATGGTGATGTTGATGATGCATTGGAACAACCTGATCAGTCATCAGGAAATCACTTTCATAGTCATCGTGGAAGTCCAGCCTCAGAATGTCTTTGACAGAAAACGGGGTGGAGGTCGCTGAACCGGGGTGCATCCTGACCTGCTGCTGCAGCTTGTTTTTTACGCACCGTGCGCTGCTGCTGCTACTGCTGCGCTGCTGCTGCTGCTGCTCCTGAAACTGGTCGGATCTGTTCACTGAACGATGAGTGAAGGCCCTCGGTGTGATTTAGGTTAGTCAAAGACCCCCAGATAATGATGCAGTGAGGTAGATCTCAGGCCCCTCAGACACCCTGACCAACACCCAGGCCACCCCCTTAAACACACACACACACACACACACACACACACACACACAC